TTGGTTACCACGGCCTGGAGTCAGGTACTTTGGGCGTCGCCCTCCTCCCTCTGTAGCGTAGTACGACGTGAACTACGAGGGCTCAGCATGCACGTAGGCCATAGTTAACGCATCGACTTGAATGTGAAGAGAAGCTGGTTTTCGAAGACTTCTCTAATAAACGCATTTTGTTCTGGCTCTTGATTTCACTTGAAAAGGCGGCTAGAAAAGATTCGTAAACTCGCCGATTAGACAGACCTGGTAAGAGCATGAAATCATTCGGGACAATCTTGCTGAAGTCACCCCGAGAAGAGATCTCACAAGTTTTAAACAAAAAGGAATGGACTTCATGTGTCTCTTTGACGAGGCTGGCAAAGCGCTCAGTGAAGATGACGACTACGATGCCAGACGAACGTCTTAGAATGTACGAAGTCGACGATGTGATGCCGGAAATTGTCAACGCGATCAAGCCGACTCTTTCTCGAAGCCCCATCCTCGTCGGCATCGTTGCCTTAGTCAGTCACGGTGGCACAGACGAATCTGTTGGTGCCATTCATACACGCCAATTGGTCCGGAATTCCCGGTCGGCGGCCCTTTCAAATTCGGCTAAAGTGTTGTTCTGTACCGACCTGCAAGTTGGCGCAGTTCAAGAGGCTAAGACTTCGCTCGCCTTTCCACAGATACCCTCAAACCAGGAACTTGAGCCTGCAAGCCTCCACTAAACTTATGGTCAAAAAGTCTTTCCGGTTCTATTCCGCCGACCATATATGTGTATACATTTGTATATTTATTTACTCAAGTGCTTTTACTTGTGTGTGTGTGTGTGTGTGTCAACGTCAGTACCGACCTATGCATCCCTTCCTTACATACTTTCATATAAAGTTTAAGGCTTCGCAATATTGTTGTTGTCGTCTAAAAGGACCCTGTTGGTTGTGCTAACTCGCCGCCTGCTGAAGCTGTTCCAAATGTTGCTACTGCTAGTGCTATCGCTATCGCTTGATTTCGTACAATTCGCTGATCGCCAGTTTTCGTTGTCAGTTCAGAGGATCGGCCATACTCTCGAGGCGAGCATAGTCGCTCAGCGTGAACTCGATCGACGGCGACCGAGTGTCGGCAACACACGCACACAAAGAGACAGACTGCTAGGCCTTGCGGGCGGCTTAGTCTGGCCTGGCATGAATAAAAATGTGCCGTTGGTCAGCGCCGAGGTAAATAAATGCTTTGCCTACTTAAATGTCAACAGTAGGAGGTGTTGAGAGATGAAAATTGTCGCTTCGCCCGGGAGGTTGGGCCGTCCAGCCTGCACACGGCGGGACGGCAAAGCGAGAGATTCGTGCAATTGCGTGCGTGCTGGCCGCCGGTGCCTGTCCGCATTGCGGCGTGCAGGCGAGTCGAGCGACGGCCAGAGGCCTTCGTGGCCAGGGCCCGCCTGTCCGCGGCCTGTCTCTTTCCGCCGTCTGGCTTTCGGGCGCAGCGTGCAGCACGGCCCTGCCCAGGCACGGCCCGGCTCTGCTTTCGCCTGGGCCGGGTCGCACGACACGAGACGGCGCCCATCGATCGCGAGCCAGGCTAGCCTCGCGTCACGCCCGAGGCGGACAGCACTGGCCAGGCTCTCCGTCCTCATTCTTTGTCTCGCGTCCGACCGGCTTGCGAGGACCAGAGGCCTGGCTGGCTGGCTGGCCGGACGGTCTGTCATTGATTTATCCGTCATTTCGCGGCTGCCTCGGCCTGTACCGGCAGGCGTCGCGTTCACGCCTGCCCGTGCCGTCTGACCAGACGGGCCACCAACGCGACTCGGCTGCCCGACTTGCTCCGTGCGCCTCTTGTCTGGCATTGATTTCTCTCTGCCTCTCTCTACGCCTCCTCGGCCCGGCAGAACTCGCCGTCCTGTGCCATCTCGCCTCTTCCGTTTATCGATCCTACCGCATGCCTCGGTCTGTCTCTTTGCGCATCAGCCGGCTCGCAGTCTCCTCCTCTTCTCTCGCCTGATTGGCCCGCCCTGACTGCCTCGGTCTGATTGGCCAGTTGCGGCGTGTGTTTCTCTGTTCCCTTGCTCTACCAGCGCGACGCTACGCCCTCGCCTGCCTGCCCGTCTAGCCGGGCGGGCGTAGCGGTGTCGACGGCCTGCTCACCTGTTCGCGCCAGGCTCGCTGCGCGTCTCCTGCTCGCCCGAGTGCCCGCCTCTCTGGCGATTGGCTGTCTCCGGCCTGCCAGTCTGCCAGCAGCCTGCCAGCCTGCCAGCCTGTCGGTGATTGGCTAAGGCGCCCTGAGACCGGTCCACGGGTGTTGTCGCCGTCGTTTCACCAATCTGAACACCTCTCTCTCCCGCCGCTCTCGTCGTCCGACCTACGCGTCTGTTGGACATCCCGGGCGTCTGTCTTCTCGTCGCCTGGGCCGTCTCCACTCGGTGTTTTTTCACCTATCTCCGCCGCACGGTCGATATACACACGTTCCCGGGCCCTATCCATTGAGTAGACACACACTATGTGATCTTGGTCTCAGCTCTCGGTTTGCAGGTGAGTTATATTGCCCATTTCAGGCCTACCCGCTGATCTCATTGCTCACTCGAGTCGGCTTTCTCGCATCTTGCCCTCCTCGCCGACGCCGATGGCGACGGCGACGGCGACGGTGACGGTGACGGCTGCCTCTGTCGAGGCACTCTTCCGTCCCCGTTGGAGGCGATGCCTCGCCTGCGCCGCCTCCATCGCCGTCTCCGTCGCGACGTCTCGGCGTCTCGGCTCCATTTGCCGACCGCCTTCACGGCGTCACTCACGACTTGACCCGGCGGCGACGATCTGTCTGTCTGTGTCCACTCGGTGGTGACTGGCGATGATGTGGGCGTGTCTGTGTGCTCGGCTCGGCCCGTTTGCTCGTTGGCGTGTTGTCCTGTTGTTGGCTTGCGTGCCTGTCTGGTTGGCTGGCTCTGTGCTCTCCGCCTCTCGACGCTGTTTGACGTCAACGCCGCCAGCGTCCGCACGCAGTCTGCTGCCTTTTCGGCCCCGGCCTCCACGACTGTCCGTACGGTGCTGCCAGCTATCTGGCTCTCTTCACCCCCTCTTCACATCGCTCTCCGTCCTCCCGGCCCTGCCATGACGACGGCTCGCCTCTTTGTGTTCACTTGTGCTGCAACCTGCTGCTTGTTTGTCCACCCCTCTGGGCTGGCGTATTTGTGCACTCGTGGCTGGCCACCAGGCCTGGCTGTGGTGCCTTTTGTCCGCTTGCTCGTGTCTCCGTCTTGAGTCGATCGTCCTGTCGTCGTGCCTTCCACCTCGCTCCTCCCGGCCAGCCTGCCACGCCCAGACACAGGCGCTGATCGGGCGGCATCGTTTACCGCCTTCGGCTCCCTCGAATGCAGGTCCGGGCTGGTTCGTCTCCTTTTCTCTTCGTCTCTTTTCTCCTCTTTCCTCGTCTCAGCCTCGGCCATGTCGTTGCGTGGCATTCGTCTTTTTGACGCGCTCAACATGCCCGCCACAGCCTCGCCTCCTCTGCCACCGACGCCACGTTGGCACGCCCAACGACTCGGGTCGTCGGCGGGGCCCCACTCGCCGGCAAACGCCCGTCGCCAGGTCGCACTGACTGTGCGTCCTTGGCGGCCTGTAGGAGCTGTCGGCGAGAATTGGCCAGCTCCGGCCTGAATGCCAATTCCTCTTGCTCCTTTTCTTCTTGTCTTTGGCCTTGACCGCCTTTTTTTTTTGGCGAGCGCCTCGATTGCTCATCGAGCCTCCGCGTCCCTCGTCAGTCTGGCCCACGCCTTATTTTGGCCCGGCGTTGCGTTCACACTCGGTCAGTGCAACTGTTGCAAATGTCTGATTGAGTCAGGACGTGAGTAGGTCGCTAACGCCGCACCCGGAGCATAACCGCTTTGGCCCCGCTTGTCGGCGGCAATTGTTGCACCAACTGTGTACAGAGTGTATTGTCTTTTTGTTGAACCCACCGATCCGATGTAACCTCAGTTGCCATGTCTACTGAGGGATATTTTTCTCTCTTCTCCTCACCAAAACTGTGTGTCAGTCTCCCCGAGACACAGTGTCATATGGGTCAAGTTACCTTTTTCAATTTTTCCCTATTTAATTTCATCTTTTGCTGGCATTTTCTGATTCTGACCTCTCTTCTTTCTATTCACTCTTGATTCAGGCATTAAAAACTATCACTGCGAGGTTTGCGGTAAATCCTTTGCGGCCTTACGACGTCTCCGGAACCACGTAAACGCACTCCATCCAGGTATTCTTAATGCAATTTTTGTGCCCTCTATCTTCTACCCATGCTTCCAACCATCCTACCTTTGCGCAAAATGGCCGCTATAAAGGGATATATATATATGCAAATCCTAAGGGGTCTCTAAAACCGAGTGAATATCTCCATTTAACCATGGTAATAAAGGAAATGTTTTTTCTGTGATTTGCCGGTAAACCATTTTCCACGTGAAAATGATCAATTTTCACCTTCGAGTATTGAGTTTTAACGCTCTTGCCTCTTTCGTGTCTGCATTGCTCAGCTCTTCGTTTCGTGACCGTTACAGAATAGCCTCTACCTATTTCGACGTGTACCTTTCCAAGCATGCTTTGTCCACTAGGTTCGTGAGCAGTGCTTCCATCCTGGAATAGTTTATTCACATAACGCTTCCATTGTGTGCCTTCCGCCCATTTTTGAGTTAACTCCAGCTTACACAGCCCAATTGGGCAAACCAGGTCTGGCATCTGTGCCCACATGGCTTCCTTAAGGCAATACTTATTCAGTGTATGCACAAACTCCTTATGTTTTCTTCAGAACGATTCGCTTTCAAAGTCCCTTTTTGTCGCCCCTCCTTCATACAGACAAGAACGTACTACTTCCCACTCCCGGATCAGGCGGCCGAGTTGCTGGCGCTCTCAGCTCGTCTGTGACTCTCGCCAACACACCACTTCCTACTCCCGCCTCTACACCCACTCCGGACACATTCAACGCATCCACTCCAATCGCTTTATCTGAAAGCCTAGCTCTCAACGCAGTCACTCCCTCGGCGTCTTGCCATTCCAACGGCGTCGTAACACATACTATCTCCTCCGTCCCGACAACTCTACTAGCCGGAGTAGGGTCCATTGGTACTGTTCATACAGCCTCCAACATCACAGCTGGCACCAACGGCGCCATTCTCCCGACCACCATTTCTAGCCAAGACTCACACACTGTTAGCCTCGCCCTGAGTGACGGCATGTCTCTCATCGGGCAGACGACCGGAATGGCCCAGACCACTATCTCCCAACAACAACAACAACAACAACAGCAACAACAGCAGCAACAGCAACACATATTTTCTGGCACCACTATGCCCTTAATCAACGCTTCACAAGTAGGCAATATTGTTTGTTGATGAAAATGTAAAATTTTGAAATTAACTTTATTTGAATGCTAAGAATAAAAAATCTTGCTTTTGTATGACGGCTTAATCTTGGATTTGTTCGCATCATCTCGCCTCATCTTCAGCTTTATCATAGTTGAGCCCTCAATCCTTGGCCACTTTATATTATTTCTCTTCCATTTGCGAATTCTTAATCAGGTCTGATCTTAGATGGTTTTCATCTCATCCCATTTATT